ATAGATCACATCCCTGCAGTCTCACTGCTCAAATCTCTGCCATTTGGGAGTTAAATCACTTTATTTATACAGCCCTGTTACTGACCCCTTAAGAATGGTCGGCGTGCTATGCCGTCCTTAGGGACCTGGCTCTAAACGCCAGGGGGGCGGCATAGCACGTCCCCGCCGTCCTATGTACTTACCCGGTCGCCGGCGATTCTGGGAGCCCGGGGAGTCCCCCTCCTTCCTCTTTGGCCCCCCCGGGCCATGTGATTGTGAGGTCCTTGCGAAGACCTCGCAATCACATGGACGGTATAGTCAGCAGGGGGAGTAATGACAGGTACTCCCTCTGCTGACTGAAAACAAAATTGTTTCAAACTGTGTAAAATTACATTAAATATACTTAGATTATATATATATATATTTATTATATATATGATCTAAGTGTGTATGTATATTAGTGATGTCCCGAACGGTTTGTGAACGGTTCACCACGAACAGTTCGCCACGGACTCATCATTGAGTAAACTTTGACCCTGTACCTCACAGTCAGCAGACACATTCCAGCCAATCAGCAGCAGACCCTCCCTCCCAGATCCTCCCACCTCCTGGATCCATTTTACATTCATTGTGAAGCTGCATTCTGTCCAGGAGGTGGGAGGGTCTGGGAGGGAGGGTCTGCTGCTGATTGGCTGGAATGTGTCTGCTGACTGTGAGGTACAGGGTCAAAGTTTACTCAATGATGAGTCCGTGGCGAACCATTCGTGGCGAACCGTTCGCAATACCGTTCGGCGAACCGTTCGGGACATCACTAATGTATATATATACACACATACACACATAAATACACATACACTGTCTAAGTGTATTTTAATATTAATATATATATATAAAGATATCAAAATGCACGTAGAACGAATATATATAACTTGAAAAAGATCTTTGTGACCAAGTGACTACTTAAAAAAGACTGGACATACCCTACTTTCAATACCTTGGTTTGTCTACCTTTGCAAATGGTATGTCATCATGGGGGTAATTCTTATTCCCGGGCTAACATACAGTCTCAAAGGCAATGTAACCAATCTGGCAAATTTCAATGTGAAAACTGAAAAATGATTAACATGATATATTTGACCCTGTAACTTCCCAAAACACCAGAAAACCTGTACATAGGGGGTACTCTTTTACATGAGACATCGCTGAATACAAATATGGGTATTTTATTGCAGTAAAAGGAAACAGTATTTTGACATTCACAGTTAAAATGTTACGTAGAACTAAACTTTTTTTTTATATTCTTATTTTCTCCCATTTTTTAAATATTTTATTCATATTAAATGATGTTTCATACCTAAATATTTGATGTTAAATGAAAGCCCTGTTTCCCCTGAATAACATTATATATACTGTAATAAGTGTGGGTGCACATAATATGAAAGAGGCGAATTACACCTGAACAGACATATAGCGCAAATTCCAGTTTTTGTTTACATTTTGTTTTGATCACAACGTGTACATTTGGCTCAGTCCTTAAGGGGTTAAAGTGCAATTTAAAGTGCAGGAGATTAAAAACTTTGAAGATCTGATTGAAAATGAAACCATTTTTTTCATGCAGACTGTGTCAGTTACAGCCAAGGGAGTTGTGGCTATGGCTGCAAAAACAAAAACCAAAGTAAATGGCTGAGCATTGAGCAGTGAGACTGCAGAGGAATTATCTGCACACTAATACTGCTTCATTAAGCTAAAGTTGTTTTGGTGACAATAATGTCCCTTTAATGCTATCTCTAAATAGCCACTGACAATAGCTCTTAGTGGCCCTTTACATATTCATGAGTTTACCGAGCTCCCCCATACATTGCTGAGTTTATACACCCCCAATATATTCCTGAGTTTACCGACTCCCCCATACATTGCTGAGTTTATGCTCCCCCATATAATATTGAGTTTACAGAGCTCCCCCATACATTGCTGAGTTTATACACCCCCATATAATATTGAATTTACAGAGCTCCCCCATACATTGCTGAGTTTATACTCCCCCAATATATTCCTGACTTTACAGAGCTCCCCCATACATTGCTGAGTTTATACTCCCCCATATAATATTGAATTTACAGAGCTCCCCCATACATTGCTGAGTTTATACTCCCCCATATAATATTGAGTTTACAGAGCTCCCCCATACATTGCTGAGTTTCTACTCCCCCATATAATATTGAATTTACATTGCTGACTTTATACTCCCCCAAATAATATTGAATTTACAGAGCTCCCCCATACATTGCTGAGTTTATACTCCCCCATATAATATTGAATTTACAGAGCTCCCCCATACATTGCTGAGTTTATACTCCCCCAAATAATATTGACTTTACCGAGCTCCCCTATACACTGCTGAGTTTATACTCCCCCATATCATATTGAATTTACAGAGCTCCCCCATACATTGCCGAGTTTATGCAACCCCAATATAATATTGAGTTTACAGAGCTCCCCCATACATTGCTGAGTTTATACACCCCCATATCATATTGAATTTACAGAGCTCCCCCATACATTGCTGAGTTTATACTCCCACATATAATATTGAATTTACAGAGCTCCCCCATACATTGCTGAGTTTATACTCCCCCATATAATATTGAATTTACAGAGCTCCCCCATACATTGCTGAGTTTATACTCCCCCAAATAATATTGACTTTACCGAGCTCCCCTATACACTGCTGAGTTTATACTCCCCCATATCATATTGAATTTACAGAGCTCCCCCATACATTGCAGAGTTTATGCAACCCCAATATAATATTGAGTTTACAGAGCTCCCCCATACATTGCTGAGTTTATACACCCCCATATAATATTGACTTTACCGAATCCCCCATACATTGCTGAGTATATACTCCCCCAATATATTCCTGAGTTTACAGAGCTCCCCCATACACCCCCATATAATATTGACTTTACAGAGCTCCCCCATCCATAACTGAGTTTATACTCCCCCAATAAATTCCTGAGTTTCCCGACTCCCCCATACATAGCTGAGTATATACACCCCCAATATATTCCTGAGTTTACCGACTCCCCCATACATAGCTGAGTATATACATCCCCAATATATTCCTGAGTTTACCGACTCCCCCATACATAGCTGAGTATATACACCCCCAATATATTCCTGAGTTTTACCGACTCCCCATACATAGCTAGTATATACACCCCAATATATTCCTGAGTTTACCTCCCCCATACATAGCTGAGAATATACACCCCCAATATATTCCTGAGTTTACCGACTCCCCCATAGCTGAGTATATACATAGCTGAGTTATACACCCCCAATATATTCCTGAGTTTACCGACTCCCCCATACATAGCTGAGTATATACACCCCCAATATATTCCTGAGTTTACCGACTCCCCCATACATAGCTGAGTATATACACCCCCAATATATTCCTGAGTTTACCGACTCCCCCATACATAGCTGAGTAAATACACCCCCAATATATTCCTGAGTTTACCGACTCCCCCATACATAGCTGAGTATATACACCCCAATATATTCCTGAGTTTAACGACTCCCCCATACATAGCTGAGTATATACACCCCCAATAAATTCCTGAGTTTACCGACTCCCCCATACATAGCTGAGTATATCCACCCCCAATATATTCCTGAGTTTACCGACTCCCCCATACATAGCTGAGTATATGCACCCCCAATATATTCCTGAGTTTACCGACTCCCCCATACATAGCTGAGTATATGCACCCCCAATATATTCCTGAGTTTACCGACTCCCCCATACATAGCTGAGTATATGCACCCCCAATATATTCCTGAGTTTACCGACTCCCCCATACATAGCTGAGTATATGCACCCCCAATATATTCCTGAGTTTACCGACTCCCCCATACATAGCTGAGTATATACACCCCCAATATATTCCTGAGTTTACCGACTCCCCCATCCATAGCTGAGTTTATACTCCCCCAATATATTCCTGAGTTTACCGACTCCCCCATCCATAGCTGAGTTTATACACCCCCAATAAATTCCTGAGTTTACTGAGCTCCCCCATACATAGCTGAGTATATACACCCCCAATATATTCCTGAGCTTACCGACTCCCCCATACATAGCTGAGTATATACACCCCCAATATATTCCTGAGTTTACCGACTCCCCCATACATAGCTGAGTATATACACCCCCAATATATTCCTGAGTTTACCGACTCCCCCATCCATAGCTGAGTTTATACACCCCCAATATATTCCTGAGCTTACCGACAAACCCATACATAGCTGAGTTTGTAGGATCCTCCAATAATAATCCATTATTCAGAGACGCCAGGATACTGTGCTGTTTGTGGCAGTAATATTACCTTCAATGTTGCTGCTCCTGTCACCACTCACTGAAGGCCAACGCCACGACTTGACAAACATTTTATAACTTGGCAGGGAGGAGTTGCTGGGCTTCGCCCATTACATTTGTATCCGTTAATAATGTGAATATGCTGATAGGTAAAATCCCAATGACAGCGCTCTGTTTATTTTACAGTTAAATGCGCCAGTTGGATCTCAGCTCAGATTGTGGCCATTTCGTTCCTAAAGAGAGACAGCTGCTTTTTAAGAACAGGTTAAACATCAACTCAGCGTTATTCTGTATAGTGAGATTTGTACCAATTTGACTTGTTCGGCTTAAATTTAAAATTCCCTTTAAATTAGCTTTAAATTCCTAACAGTCCACACGTTTAACACTCTTGGTTAGATATTATTATTAGAAGTGCAGTATTTATATTACCATATTCCTTAGTAACATCTCACTATCGCTGCCAGAACCCCGATTATAGGATGTTGTTCATACAACTCACCGCGTTTCCACCATTTCCTTTTTTTTTATCAGTGATATTACATATTGCTCAATTATAAAGTTATATCATGAAGTAATATCGAGACGTCCGTGGCCACAGTGCAGATTGTGAAGTTATATCATGAAGTAATATCGAGACGTCAGCGGCCACTGTGCAGATTGTGAAGTTATATCATGAAGTCATATCGAGACGTCACAGCCCACAGCGCAGATTGTGAAGTTATATCATGAAGTCATATCGAGACGTCAGAGGCCATAGTGCAGATTGTGAAGTTATATCATGAAGTCATATCGAGACGTCCGCAGCCACAGTGCAGATTGTGAAGTTATATCATGAAGTCATATCGAGACATCTGCGGCCACAGTGCAGATTGTGAAGTTATATCATGAAGTAATATCGAGACGTCAGAGGCCACAGTTCAGATTGTGAAGTTATATCATGAAGTCATATCGAGACATCTGCGGCCACAGTGCAGATTGTGAAGTTATATCATGAAGTCTTATCGGGACGTCACAGGCCACAGTGCAGATTGTGAAGTTATATCATGAAGTCATATCGAGACGTCCGCGGCCACAGTGCAGATTGTGAAGTTATATCATGAAGTCATATCGAGACGTCCGCGGCCACAGTGCAGATTGTGATGTTATATCATGAAGTCATATCGAGACGTCAGAGGCCACAGTGCAGATTGTGAAGTTATATCATGAAGTAATATCGAGACATCTGCGGCCACAGCGCAGATTGTGAAGTTATATCATGAAGTCTTATTGAGACGTCCGTGGCCACAGTGCAGATTGCGAAGTTATATCATGAAGTAATATCGAGACGTCCGCGGCCACAGCGCAGATTGCGAAGTTATATCATGAAGTCATATCGAGACGTCAGAGGCCACAGTGCAGATTGTGAAGTTATATCATGAAGTCATATTGAGACGTCCGTGGCCACAGTGCAGATTGCGAAGTTATATCATGAATATCGAGACGTCAGCAGCCACAGCGCAGATTGTAAAGTTATATCATGAAGTCATATCGAGACGTCACAGGCCACATTGCAGATTGTGAAGTTATATCATGAAGTAATATCGAGACGTCCACGGCCACAGCGCAGATTGTGAAGTTATATCATGAAGTCATATCGAGACGTCAGAGGCCACAGTGCAGATTGTGAAGTTATATTATGAAGTCATATCGAGACGTCCGCGGCCACAGTGCAGATTGCGAAGTTATATCATGAAGTCATATCGAGACGTCCGCAGCCACAGTGCAGATTGTGAAGTTATATCATGAAGTCATATCGAGACGTCCGCGGCCACAGTGCAGATTGTGAAGTTATATCATGAAGTCATATCGAGACGTCAGAGGCCACAGTGCAGATTGTGAAGTTATATCATGAAGTAATATCGAGACATCTGCGGCCACAGCGCAGATTGTGAAGTTATATCATGAAGTCATATTGAGACGTCCGTGGCCACAGTGCAGATTGCGAAGTTATATCATGAAGTAATATCGAGACGTCCGCGGCCACAGCGCAGATTGCGAAGTTATATCATGAAGTCATATCGAGACGTCAGAGGCCACAGTGCAGATTGTGAAGTTATATCATGAAGTCATATTGAGACGTCCGTGGCCACAGTGCAGATTGCGAAGTTATATCATGAATATCGAGACGTCAGCAGCCACAGCGCAGATTGTAAAGTTATATCATGAAGTCATATCGAGACGTCACAGGCCACATTGCAGATTGTGAAGTTATATCATGAAGTAATATCGAGACGTCCACGGCCACAGCGCAGATTGTGAAGTTATATCATGAAGTCATATCGAGACGTCAGAGGCCACAGTGCAGATTGTGAAGTTATATTATGAAGTCATATCGAGACGTCCGCGGCCACAGTGCAGATTGCGAAGTTATATCATGAAGTCATATCGAGACGTCCGCGGCCACAGTGCAGATTGTGAAGTTATATCATGAAGTAATATCGAGACGTCAGCGGCCACAGTGCAGATTGTGAAGTTATATCATGAAGTCATATCGAGACGTCAGAGGCCACATCGCAGATTGTGAAGTTATATCACGAAGTCATATCGAGAGGTCCGCGGCCACAGCGCAGATTGTAAAGTTATATCATGAAGTCATATCGAGACGTCCGCGGCCACAGTGCAGATTGTGAAGTTATATCATGAAGTCATATCGAGACGTCACAGGCCACAGTGCAGATTGTGAAGTTATATCATGAAGTCATATCGAGACGTCAGAGGCCACAGTGCAGATTGTGAAGTTATATGATGAAGTCATATCGAGACGTCAGAGGCCACAGCGCAGATTGTGAAGTTATATCATAAAGTCATTTCGAGACGTCACAGGCTACAGTGCAGATTGTGAAGTTATATCATGAAGTCATATCGAGACGTCAGAGGCCACAGAGCAGATTGTGAAGTTATATCATGAAGTCATATCGAGACGTCAGAGGCCACAGTTCAGATTGTGAAGTTATATTATGAAGTCATATAGAGAGGTCCGCGGCCACAGCGCAGATTGTGAAGTTATATCATGAAGTCATATCGAGACGTCACAGGCTACAGTGCAGATTGTGAAGTTATATCATGAAGTCATATCGAGACGTCAGAGGCCACAGAGCAGATTGTGAAGTTATATCATGAAGTCATATCAAGACGTCAGCAGCCACAGCGCAGATTGTGAAGTTATATCATGAAGTCATATCGAGACGTCCGCGGCCACAGTGCAGATTGCGAAGTTATATCATGAAGTAATATCGAGACATCTGCGGCCACAGTGCAGATTGTGAAGTTATATCATGAAGTAATATCGAGACGTCCGCGGCCACAGTGCAGATTGTGAAGTTATATCATGAAGTAATATCGAGACGTCCGCGGCCACAGTGCAGATTGTGAAGTTATATCATGAAGTCATATCGAGACATCAGCGGCCACAGCGCAGATTGTGAAGTTATATCATGAAGTCATATCGAGACGTCCGCGGCCACAGTGCAGATTGCGAAGTTATATCATGAAGTCATATCGAGACATCTGCGGCCACAGTGCAGATTGTGAAGTTATATCATGAAGTAATATCGAGACGTCCGAGGCCACAGTGCAGATTGTGAAGTTATATCATGAAGTAATATCGAGACGTCCGCGGCCACAGTGCAGATTGCAAAGTTATATCATGAAGTCATATCGAGACGTCAGCAGCCACAGCGCAGATTGTGAAGTTATATCATGAAGTCATATTGAGACGTCCGCGGCCACAGCGCAGATTGTGAAGTTATATGATGAAGTCATATCGAGACGTCAGAGGCCACAGTGCAGATTGTGAATGTGACGAGACCAATCTCGCAACATTGCATTGGAGAAGCCTGGTTGCTCGCCTGCTGCCTCTAGACTATGGCCCCCTGTTAAAAGACTTTGTTTCGCCTGCAGAAAAGCTGTATTCGTGCTTTTCTGCCGGTTGCTCGGTAGATTCAATCTAACGAACAACCGCACGAATGAATAGACCACCTGGGAGCTGGAGTGTGCCGGCAATTAACCTCCCTGAAGCTGCGGTTAACCGCAGCTTAATTGACGAATGCTGGGTGGCAGCCATTCGTATCCCGAACACGAGGTCGCTGCCATTTTTAACATCCGAATGCACAGCGGTGTTCGTCTCTATTTTCATGGTACTAAAATCGGACACAGTTTTGCGCGAACACCGCTGAAGCCGTCGACCTCCCTTCTTGTTCGGTGGAAGTGCACGAACGGCCCAGTGTTCGGTAGTTTTGTTTGAATGTTTTATACCCCAGATAGGAATCCCATGGAGCCCATTCGTATGAAACTGACTGTAAAGACTTTGGCTCCATGGCGATTAAACTGTATTCGTGTGGTCTGAGCGCCATTCACTTAATAATGTGCGATCAGACCTGAGCTATCTGGGGATATGTTAAATGTATAGTTTTAATGCAATGTGTCTTACCTTGTGTATTTTAACAGTAATGCTTGTTTTAGTATCCCCATGTGCATAATGGAGATTTGACTCTGTCTTGCGGGATAATTGAATTACTTCTCAATTATCTCCCAGGGCAGAGGGGAGAAAGCCAGGATGCATTGTGGGAATATACTGTGTTATTGGCGGTTCGTGTGTTTGGTGTTCTGCAGTAGCTGTGCCTGCATCTCTGGAAAGGGGGCAGATCGCCTAAACTGTTTTTACCCCTTTTGTGCAATACGGTCCGTTACAGTGAAGTTATATCATGAAGTCATATCGAGACGTCCGCGGCCACAGTGCAGATTGCAAAGTTATATCATGAAGTCATATCGAGACGTCAGCAGCCACAGCGCAGATTGTGAAGTTATATCATGAAGTCATATTGAGACGTCCGCGGCCACATTGAAGATTGCGAAGTTATATCATGAAGTATTATCGAGACATCTGCGGCCAAAGTGCAGATTGTGAAGTTATATCATGAAGTAATATCGAGACGTCCGCGGCCACAGTGCAGATTGTGAAGTTATATCATGAAGTAATATCGAGACATCTGCGGCCACAGCGCAGATTGTGAAGTTATATCATGAAGTCATATTGAGACGTCCGTGGCCACAGTGCAGATTGCGAAGTTATATCATGAAGTCATATCAAGACATCTGCGGCCACAGTGCAGATTGTGAAGTTATATCATGAAGTCATATCGAGACGTCACAGGCCAAAGTGCAAATTGTGAAGTTATATCATGAAGTCATATCGAAACGTCACAGGCCACAGTGCAGATTGTGAAGTTATATCATGAAGTCATATCGAGACGTCACAGGCCACAGTGCAGATTGTGAAGTTACATCATGAAGTCATATCGAGACGTGGCCACAGCGCAGATTGTGAAGTTATATCATGAAGTCATATCGAGACGTCAGCGGCCACAGTGCAGATTGTGAAGTTATATCATGAAGTCATAGATCGAAGTTATATCATGAAGTCATATCGCGGCCCACAGTGCAGATTGTGAAGTTATATCATGAAGTAATATCGAGACGTCAGCGGCCACATTGCAGATTGTGAAGTTATATCATGAAGTCATATCGAGACGTCACAGGCCACAGTGCAGATTGTGAAGTTATATCATGAAGTCATATCGAAACGTCAGAGGCCACAGTGCAGATTGTGAAGTTATATCATGAAGTCATATCGAGACGTCACAGGCCACAGTGCAGATTGTGAAGTTATATCATGAAGTCATATCGAGACGTCACAGGCCACAGTGCAGATTGTGAAGTTATATCATGAAGTCATTTTGAGACGTCCGCGGCCACAGCGCAGATTGTGAAGTTATATCATGAAGTAATATCGAGACGTCGGCGGCCACAGTGCAGATTCTGAAGTTATATCATGAAGTCATATCGAGACGTCAGAGGCCACAGCGCAGATTGTGAAGTTATATCATGAAGTCATATCGAGACGTCCGCGGCCACAGCGCAGATTGTGAAGTTATATCATGAAGTCATATCGAGACGTCCGCGGCCACAGTGCAGATTGCAAAGTTATATCATGAAGTTATATCATGAAGTCATATCGAGACGTCAGCAGATTGTGAAGTTATATCCACAGAGAGATTGTGAAGTTATATCATGAAGTCATATCGAGACGTCCACGCGTGCCACAGTGCAGATTGCGAAGTTATATCATGAAGTAATATCGAGACGTCTGCGGCCACAGTGCAGATTGTGAAGTTATATCATGAAGTAATATCGAGACGTCCGCGGCCACAGTGCAGATTGTGAAGTTATATCATGAAGTAATATCGAGACGTCCGCGGCCACAGTGCAGATTGTGAAGTTATATCATGAAGTCATATCGAGACATCAGCAGCCACAGCGCAGATTGTGAAGTTATATCATGAAGTCATATCGAGACGTCCGCGGCCACAGTGCAGATTGCGAAGTTATATCATGAAGTCATATCGAGACATCTGCGGCCACAGTGCAGATTGTGAAGTTATATCATGAAGTAATATCGAGACGTCCGAGGCCACAGTGCAGATTGTGAAGTTATATCATGAAGTAATATCGAGACGTCCGCGGCCACAGTGCAGATTGTGAAGTTATATCATGAAGTAATATCGAGACATCTGCGGCCACAGCGCAGATTGTGAAGTTATATCATGAAGTAATATCGAGACGTCCGCGGCCACAGTGCAGATTGTGAAGTTATATCATGAAGTCATATCGAGACGTCAGCAGCCACAGCGCAGATTGTGAAGTTATATCATGAAGTCATATCGAGACGTCCGCGGCCACAGTGCAGATTGCGAAGTTATATCATGAAGTCATATTGAGACGTCCGCGGCCACATTGAAGATTGCGAAGTTATATCATGAAGTCATATCGAGACGTCAGCAGCCACAGCGCAGATTGTGAAGTTATATCATGAAGTCATTTCGAGACGTCAGAGGCCACAGTTCAGATTGTGAAGTTAGATCATGAAGTCATATTGAGACGTCACAGGCCACAGTGCAGATTGTGAAGTTATATCATGAAGTCATATCGAGATGTCACAGGCCACAGCGCAGATTGTGAAGTTATATCATGAAGTCATTTCAAGACATCAGAGGCCACACGGTGCAGATTGTCTGACCTGTGCCGCCCCATTTCCATTGATAGATACATCACTCTCTACTTCTGCTCTGTGCCCCCCACTTTCTATTTCTGACCAGTGACCCCCCAATCTCTGCTTCTACCCTGTGCTCCCCCCACTCTCTACTTCTGACCCTTGACCCTCACTCTCTGCTTCTGCCCTGTGCCCCACACTCTCTACTTCTGACCTGTGCCCCCCCATTTTCTGCTTTTGCCCTGTGCCCCACCCACTCTCTACTTCTGTAATGCTGCAAACATAACAGTATCAAATGTCTACACCTATGTATGTCAGAGTGTATGTGTGTGTGTCACTGTGTGTTTTTCACTGTGTATATGTGTGTGTTTCACTGTGTGTACATGTGCCAGTGTGTATCTGAGTGTGTGTATGTGCCATACAAACAAACCCCAGTTTTAAAATCTTAAAATGTTATGCACACTACAAACTCTACTCACAAACACACACCTTGATTTAAAAGCCAATACTTCATACAAGTACACCTGCATTCCTACTTATACAAATACAACCTTGCAATGATGGGCGAATGGTAGATCCCCAGCTGATATAGTAGCATTGCAGTTGTACGACCAATGGGGATCTATCTTTTCGCCACTCTGGTGCTATGGGGCCCCAAAAAACGTTCTTACATCAGAGTACTGGGTTGGGGTGGAGGGTGTGACTGCATTCCAGGCAGTGGGGGTATGGGGGAGGGTTCAGGGGACCCAAGCTACATTGGTAGATGATATTCTTGTATTTAGTGAATGATCCCCATGTTCTGTAGGTATAAAAAACCAACATCGGGTAATATGTATTAACACAATATATACAGTAAAAAAACTTGGAACACTCACAATATTTAGAGCCTTTATGAGTTGGCTCTAAACTGTAACAGCAGGTACATCAATCAGATGTGGATATATGGTCAGGTCCCCCAGAAGTTATCAGAAGTCTTCTGTGTGGTAAATCAGGAACCAGGTAACCAGGTAAATAAAAGGTAAATACTTTTATGTGACAATATAAAATAAAGTAAAAAGGCACAACGCGTTTCGACCTTGTACAATAGGTCTTCCTCAGGTGCATATAGTGCAGCATGTGAGCAAAAGCTCTTATATATCTTTTTTGCAATTCTTTATTTTTGCGTGCAAGGTTAGTTACAATACTACCCGTATAGCCACAACAGCCTTCCGGGTTTTCAAATATTTAATGACATCACAACATAGTTTAGGCATACATAGCAGTCTGTCGATTCTAATCTGTGGTGTCAGCTAGTTCTGCACATTTTCATATAATTTATGTGTCCGTTTGCGTATAGGTATACGTGTGTATAGGGGTTGTCGCTCATTGAGCCTATGTGTGCCTCTGCGATCGTCCAGTGGGTTGGGAATTGACTCCTTACCAAGGAGGTCGCGGGGGGGGTGGGAGGAGATGTAGTCTCCCTGGAGCTTTTGGTGTATGTGTCAGGGTGGGTCTTGTCTGATGTTGTGTCAGCAGCAGTTATGGTGTAGCGTTTAGTTAGTCGTGTAGGTGCATATGTTTCAGTAATACATAGATAAAAATAAACAGTGAAACAACAGGAGAAACCAAAGGTAAAACAGAAGGCAAGACCGGAACCGGTTAATGCATTGTATGCTTGTTGGCTACAAATTTTACAGTTCAGGTCGGTTCTCTCTGGTGCTCTCTATTCCTGAGGATGAATGGGGTCATTCTGTCAGGATCCCAGGTGTGCGAAGACGTGGGAGTTTCTTGTGCTGCGGGTCCGGTGTGAATCCCCAGTGCGCGTAGGAACTGTTCTGCCTCCTGTAGTGAGGAAAGATTGTGTGTGGTACCGTTTTTGGTTACAGTCAGGGTCCTTGGTAGAGTCCATTTGTACTCAATTTTAGCTTCGCGCAGACTGCTCGTCACTTGTGCCAGGGACCTGCGCCACAACAGCGTGTTTCTTGTTAAGTCCTGATAGAAGGTAATGTGGGATGATTCAAAAGCAAGTGGTGTCCCTCCCCTGACTGCTGTAAGGATCTTGATTTTGTCTGCCACTGAGTGGCACCGGATGATGACATCTTGTGGAGCTGTGGCTGGGGCTTGTCTTGCTTTTTTGATCCTAAAGAAGCCGTCTAGTGTGAATTTTTTGGCTTGGGCGTGCGGTAGGAGCGTGGCTGTGAGACGTCTGAGGTAGAGGGGTAGTTCTGTGGAGTCCACGCTATCCGGTATCCCCCTTAGTTTTAAGTTAGTGCGCCTGTTGCGGTCCTCTGCTAGGTCCATTCTCGTAGTGAGGTTGGATTGGGATGTCTGCATGAGTATTATTTGTTCTTTTAGCCCCTGTGTTACAAACTGCCATTTGTAACTGTTATTTTATTTGACAAATTGTCCTGCTTCCCTGTGTTATGGAGAAGCCTAATTGCCAGCCTTCTGCCCCATGACTATGGACCTAGTGTGTATGGCGATTTGACTGTATTTGTGGGATCTGAGCGCTGTTTGGATATATTGAGCGCTCAGATCCAAGCCATCTGGGGATAGGTTGAATGTGGGGGTTCTGTTCAGTTCAATAGGAGTTATGTATTTTTGTGTCTTTTTGTGTCTTTTGCTAACATGTGGTTAATGGAGTCTGCCTCTATCCCTGGATAATTGGATTACTTTCCCCATTGTCCAGGATAGAGGCCTCTGTAAAACCGGTTTGGGCCAGAAAACCATGCTGCCAGCCAGGCCCCAAAAGACACTTTTGCTAACTTTTGAACCCCTTGTCTGATTTGTGCCATTTTTTAATATGTTGCTCCCCTTAATGGATTGATTCCAAATATGTAATTTTATGAAGATTGGCTGTGTAGTTTGGAAGTTATAGTACATGTATAAAAACTGTATTTTTACTGTTCTGTTTTAATTATGTTATGTGATTATCTGAGGGATGGGAATTTCCCCGAATGTATATTGTTCCGATTGGTTATACTGCTAATTATGTGGGTGTCTCCCTTGCATGGGCAGAATCTCATAAAAGCAGAGTGTGTGCCATTAAACATCAGATCTTCTTGACCCTCAATACGTAGCCTTGTCTCGTTATTGGAGGGAACTGCTATAGCACACTGGGGATTGCTATGCTCTGCATACTCCCCTGAGCTTTTAATCACTTAGCTCTTTTAAGAGCTGTTCCTGTTACGCTCTCCTGGAGGAGAGGTCTTCCCCACACGGTCCTGGAGGACAGAAGCTGATCCAGGGTGGAAGGAAGACGGCGAGACTCCAGTTAAGCTACGGCGGTTGTGGAGTCTGCGGTGGTTGTGGTGTCTGCTGCAGTGTTTGGAGTCCTCAGGAAGCGCTAGGAGCATCCATCAACGGAGGGTACTCGGTCGGAGTACAGGGAGCTCCGTTACACCCTGTACCTCTTGTTTCAAGTCTAGGGTGTCCTCTTCAGTGGCTTGAGTGCGTGTAATTATTGCCTGCATTTCGGTCCTTAGCAAGTCCATATCTGCTGCGTGCATTTGTCTCATTTCTTTCAGCAGGTCGGCTATGTCTTGTTTAGTAGCCGGTGTGAGGTTAGTTCTGTTAGTTTGTGGATCCCTTATTGGGTGAGCGGTTAATAGTTCTTGTTCGGCTCCGGATTGCTCTCCTTCATCTTGGGAGGCAGTTGTGCGGTCTGGCGAGGCCGCCATCTTGGGCGCCGTTGGTCTTTGCAGCAGGTCGCCTATGTCCTGTGTGGTCCTGCTTGTGTTCTGTGTGGGTCTCTGGGATTTTCTGCCCATGTTGTAGTCGTTAGGCGCAGCTGTCCCAGTCTGCAGGTAGGGGTCCTGGAGCACTTTCAGGGCTGTGAGTTCTTGTGCGAACCTTGAGGCTTGGTAGGCGGTGTAGGCCCCGGTTTTCCGTTGGGTCTTTCTGCTCGTTTGCGGATACAAAAAAGGCATCAGCTTGCTGCTCGCTTACTGGGGTTTCCCCGGGAGCTGGTAGAATGCCTCTGTAGGTGCCGCAGGGCTTCGTTTTAGGGCCTTTTAGGCGTCGTTTGTCCGGAGCTCAGAGGTGATGCGACCGTTCCTGTCTGGTGCTCGGCTCCGCCCCCCAAGCTCTTATATATCATACATAATAAGTACAAACAATTAAAATAATTAACAGGTGAACATTCATTAAGAAGCCCCTTCCCCATATATGGAGGGTTTCCTACTTTTTCTATATAATCAGACGTTACAATTTGCTTAAAATTTCTGGCCACTCTAAAAATAAATTTAAGTTTATCACTTTGTTCTTGTTTCAAAATATGCCAGTTCTTATTTATAATTATTTTTAACATACCAACATTACTACAATAATTGAAAATAAGTGGTATTTCTTCTGTTATTTTGATCCTTCTTTTTATAGTGTAGTTGTTGTGATATGTTTAGGTCCTTAAGACTGTCAATATCTTTCTGAAGGTTATCTTCCTTATATCATTTTTGTAAAAACAGTTTGAGTTTAAATGATGACTGATTAATAAAATATGTCTGATCTGAACAGTTTCTTTTGACTTGTACAAATTGACCCTTGGGAATATTATGTAGCCATGGGTCATGGTGGCAACTACTTGTTTCAATAAAACTATTTACATTAACTTGTTTAAAGAAGGTACGGGTTTTGAACTGTTCTTCAGAAATATAAATGTTAAGATCTAAAAAAATCAATATTGGTAGGGCTGACATTTTTTGTAAATTTGATACCCCAATCATTGGAGTTAAGATGGTTAAAAAGTAGATTAAAATCCACCTCAGACCCTTTTCAAATAATATAATATCATCTATGTATCTCTTATATAGGGCAAGGTTTGCTCCTCAGGTATGTCCTAGGTAAATAAATAAACTTTTCCTATAGGATATAAAAAGATTGGCATAGCTGGGGGCAAACTTGTGGTACCTCGAGTCTGAAGGTAAAAATCATCATCAAACCAAAAATAATTATTGATTAAAATCATCTCTATTCCTTTGATGATAAAATCAATCTGTACATCTAAGAATTCTTTAGATTGTTTTAAATAAAATGCAACTGCAACCATTCCTTTTTAATGTTCTATTATGATGTACAAACTGGTGACATCACATGTAATTAGCAGATAACCTTCTTCCCATTTTGGTTCTTCTAAAATTTTTAAAAGTCTCATAGAGTCTTGAAGGTAGAAACGGCACAATTTGACTAATGGTTGAAGAAAATAGTCAATAAATTGCGATAGTGTAGATAAAAAAGAGTCAATACCAGAAACTATGGGACCCCATTCGTATACCGAACACGAGGTCGCGGCCTTTTTAAACATGCGAACGCACAGCAGTGTTCGACGCCCAACTCATGGAACTGAAAATGGATACATTTTGGCGCGAACACCGCTGAAGCCGCCAACCTCCCTTCTTGTACGGTAGAAGTGCACGAATGGCCCTATATTTGATAGTTGTACCTGAATACACCATACGCAGTTAGGAATCCCGTGGAGCTCATTCGTATGAAAACTGACTTTGTGAACACTTTGGCTCCACGGCGATTAGACTGTGTGCATAGAATCTGAGCGCTATTCGGTACTTTTGTGCGCTCAGATCCCAGCTATCTGGGGATGGGTTGCAAGTATATATTTTGTGTGATAAATGTAATATTGTGTATTTTATTGTGTTTTAGTATTATACTGTAACCATGTGGGTAATGGAGTTTTGCCTCTGTCCTTGGAGATAATTGGATTACTTCCCAATTATCTCCAGGATAGAGGGGAGGGATTGTAATGTATTGGGGGAGTGTTTTAACCATGTCTGCCTGTGATTGGTCATTGTACTATTTGTGTCCCAGTCTCCCATTGGGTCCCCTAGGGGAGTTTCCACCAGACGGGCGACCTGCATAAATACTAGGCAGGTAGCGCTCATTAAACAGACCACTGCTTGACCTTCAACACGGAGCTCTGTCTTGTTCTTTGGGGGGATTTACTGTATGCTGTTAGAGACTGATTGCTAGGAGTGTAAGCCGCTTGGGTGCTTTTCCGATTCGTCTGCTAGCAGCTATTCGTGAGGTTCCAGTTCGGGAGTTTGGAGCATTCCCTTACATGCGGTTCGGGAGTTTGGTGTTCTGCAGTAGCTGTGCCTGTATATCTGGAAGGGGAAGATCTTCTAAACGGCGGTTTAACCCTTTTATGCTGAGGGTGCCGTTACACTCCAATCCTAGAGAAATGGAGTTTGTAGCAATACAGAAAGTCCAGACACACTGGAGAGGTGGTAATAATGCCTTCAATTTAAGTAAAAAAGAAGCAACTTGGATATTTGAACTGCAAACCTTATGTCCTAAAGGATCAAATATAGATTTTGAAATTGGACCAATACTTTAAGTAATACATTTTTCTCTTGCATTATTTTATTACTTTTTTTTTATTATTCTTAATAATCTCAATTTTATCATATTTTATTAGTCATTTTAATACCCCTATATTATTATATAATGTATGCTGTTTTCTTTTTCCTGGTAATAATAATGTTACTAATCGTTTTCATTATATTTATACTCTTGCTCTTACTCTTCCCTGTTTCAAAATGATGACTGTAATGAACATTGTTCCTATTTGGAACTATATGGACATTGCTCCCTGATTAAAAATAAAAAAACAGAAAATGGGTAAGTGACGCTAAAAATAAGATAAGATATATACAAATTGTGTATCCCAGTGCGTCTGAACACAACCCAGTGTTATGTCACCCAAAAACACTTACATAAACAGATTGGTACAAAGAGAAAGGTGGTTTGCGCACACGATGGATATAACGTTACTGTATTTATATCTGCAAGGTATAAAAAAATCATCATAAGGCAATATATATGTACAGAATATAAAAAAGATAGTAACTTGGAGCACTCACAGTCTTGGAGCTCCCTGATTGGTAAGAACGAATGATGAACAGATACAGATATATATAGGCCTACGCCCACCGGAAACATGACGGACATAACCGGAAGTGACACGTTGCTATGTTGGGAAGGTCGAGCACATCCTCATAGAAGACATAACCTCGGCGGCCATGCTGGATGAGGCGGAACTGCCCAGAAAAAGATCCAGACACGCTCCATATAGGAATGTTCACCTGTTAATAAGCTGGTACGTGTATAGAACGATTCAGGACAATCTGTGAACATTCCAATAATGCACATTGTGATCCCTGCAATATTTCGCAATTTGCTACAGATTTTCAACCATTGTGTTTATTACACAACAATTTAATTGCTTCCAACCTGAGCCTCATATTCCAGACACGAAGGACATCGAATCGCCCAATATTACCTTCACTGTATTACTGGAGTAAAAAGTGAGGATTCACTAACAAGGAGTTAAAATCTTTATAAATAGCTCTATCATATCAGACATAGCACATGAGCACAAATTGTGAGGGAAAGTCCTGAATGCTGAGCAGTTGCCATAACAACCAATGGAACGCAACCAGAGACTGCTCCAAATTCACTTTGCTTCATTATTGCTACAAATTCATGGTTATTATTGCTCAAAGTTCACCGTTTTATTCTAGTCTTCTAATTAGTTTTAATCCTCTTCATACACTTTTTAATTTAGAAGGACACTCTAGTTTGCAGTCCCCATTTTAACTACATTAACTAATAAAAAAATTGTATACCTCCCTATTGTCTGCAGACTGTGATGTGTGTTTTCTCAGCTGATCCTGGATCGTTCTGCTATTTCCAATTAGTATATTATACGTGTGCAATAACCCTCCACAATGCAGGATTTGTAGCATATGTAGTACCTGTAGCGGTGTCAGGATTACAAGTTGATCCAGCACGCAGTACTGTGTCACACCTAGGACTAAGGATAACAATGGGCAGAAGCGGTCTGGGTGCCTGGACCTTAGAATGGCTGGACTTAACGTCTCCGAGAATAGTCAAAATACTTGCCGAGGTCAGGAACACAGAATCAGACACAACGATGAGGGAAAGCCAAAAGTCGAGGATACCAGAATTCAGGGAAGTCAAAACAAAGCCAAAGTCAAATACCAGAAAATCAAGATCAGGAACGCGCTCTCGGATAACCATATGCATGAAACCACGGCAGGGCAATGAGCAAGAGGGGAATTGGGTTTAAATACCCCTCCTGTGGATCTGATAGGCTGTAACTGACCTCTGACCCCAAAAGCAATTACCAGGTTTCCGTGTGCATGATTGCTGCTCAGCACAACTTTTCCTGTCAGGACGGTAAATGCCATTAACCACATTTTTATATGCGGATGAATACGTGACAAGTGGAGACTTAGTCCTGACCAGGACTCTCCCTCTGCTAGGATCAGGAATTCAGGAACTCAGGAACAAGAATTAGCCAAGTGAATAGCCCACCTCCTCCCCAGTAACTGGATGACGTACAGTTCTGGGAGTACAACTGATTTTATTTTAGCCATACACGGCTTTTATTCACTGACCTCTAGCATGGGTTCTCCACATCAAAAAGTCAAGGGTTTTTCTCCCAGGAGCCTCTGTTTCTGAGGGATAATTGAGTGAGAAAACTATAACTCAATTATCTCTTAGATACAGGAAACATACACAATATTGCAATTTCTCATAAAAATAAATTTTATTAACATAGGAACCCCACAAAAGTCATCACCGAATAGCTTGGGGGTACGAACAAGGGGGCATGGACACGGACAACCGAACACCAGGGAATGGAGTTTGCTACAGTTCCACTGTTGCAAGTTAAAGGGACTCTCCAGTGCCAGGAAAACAAACCGTTTTCCTGGCACTGCAGGTGCCCTCTCCCTGCCACCCCCCATCCCAAGTTGCTGAAGGGGTTAAAACCCCTTCAGTGACTTACCTGTATCCAGCGCTGTTGTCCCTCGGTGCTGGTTCAGGGTCCGTCCACGACTTCATCCGGCAGGGGAGACCTATTGCGCAATGCCGCACACGCGCATTAGACCTC